TCAAATACAAGCGAGCCTTGCGTGCAATCGTTTGTCGATGAAGACTTCATTATCCGGAGGCCACCAAGACACAAAACTAAACGGGATGCTGAAGGAGGCCCGGGGAGACAATGACCAAAGCGTTCGCACTGCCGGCGAGGTCAGTTTCTCTTGAGAAGTCAGGGAGCAGCGGTGATGGAGGCTTGGCGTGAGACTACGGCGTGGAGTAAAAGAGGCGAAACACACGAGGCTTGGAGGACCGCAGGGACGGCTGGATAGGTAGTCTACCATGTTGCCAGATCCGACACTGCGAGGGCATTTAATTGCCGAGTGAGCAGCAGAATAGACAAGATCAAGTTTGTAAGTGAGGCCCGCGGGAAGGTGGACATCCGACTGCTTGGCTGATACCGCCGTCTGTCTCGTCGACAAGGCTCCCGCCCGGGAAAGTCCCAAAAAACGCTCTTTGAGACCCTTCTATAAAAGCCACACTGAGTCTTGGCCGAGAAAACCCCAGGCTCCAACACCGACCGTAGGTCATCTTTCCTCCCAGAGCCCCAGATGATCCTCGAGCCCCACCTCCGCCTGCAAGTCACCCCGGCCCGGCACCTCGATCTCACAACCTCCGCGTCCGACGCCGATCGGCGCCGCTTCCGGATTCGGCGCCAAGTCCGGACCCGGAAAGGAACTACCGTTTCGCCAAGACACGCCTATCGGGGCCCTCCCATCTAGCCTTGGCTTACTACCGCCCGTAGTAGCAACGGCGTAGCCCCCGCACCCACGCAACTAACCGCGGCGTTCGCGGAACCGATGTTCTTCCGCCTCTGCCGGCCCCCGACACACCTCGCCCTCATGATGGCACGGTCGACGTCTCTCCTTCTGGTACCGTAAGCCAAACACCTGCGCACAAGAGACCCTTGCTCGAGCACACCAACCGAAGCGCCCAATGCCATTATCCATCACCACCCGCTCGTCAACCTCTGCCGCCACCCATGACTTGGTCCTCCTAGTCCTCCATCCTCAAACAGCCCTCCCCTCCACCCGTTTCCGAGGTCAACCTTTACGACGTTCGCCTCCATCTATAACGAGTACCCTCGATGCCGCATGGCTGGACTCTGACGCCGGGATATTGGGTTAGCTAAACTACGGATATGCACTGCCGTCTGTGGGCGAGATTCATCGGCATGGACAGATGTGTACCGCAAAGATTTTCACATCTACAATTTGACGGTCCACGTGAACATCGGCCTGTAGATGGTACTTTTGACGTGTCCCAAAATTGCAGTATACGGTGGAGCGGGAGGTAGAAAAACCACACTTTTGAATGGTTGTACAAAGCATTGACCCAACGAAGAATTTCAAAGGAACAGGTCATATTGTAAATGCGCCTCTCTGCAAATACAATTTCAGCGTCCAAGTCTGGCCACTCATGGAGTGATCTGTCATAATTTCAGAGGGCATTCGTGTGAGGCGGAACACGAACACATGTCCCAACCGTTGCATGTCAACATCAAATGTCAGTTCGTATCGAGAAGACGGGCCAGGGCTCAGCAGCAGGGGAACACGAGGTCAAGGTCAAGGCCTCGGTTGTTGTCATGCATTCTCTGAAGATAGTGACTTGCAGTGAAGAGTGTCGAAGGAAGGTATTCCACAAGCAAAGGTGATACGCCCCCTTCCCTTTCCCAAATTCAGCAAAAAGGAAAACATATGATATAAAAACAACACCGCCGGAACTGACGTAAAAATCAGTGTCCACGGACGGCTCAACCCGGTTTCCTAATCCCTAATAGCCTCTTCCATCACGCAAGATTCATATCAGGTCATGATACTCTCCAGGGGAGGTTGAGTGAGTTTTCGGGCATTTTCAAGCCAAAACCAGCGAACAAAAGAAGTTGCGCGTGTCTCTGCACCGTAAGGATCCCGACCAGAACGAAAGCTTGATTTTTTTGGCGGGTCATGGTTTTTCACAACAGCCCAACCATATCAAGCGCAAGTCTGGGCCTGGAGCGAGTTGGGTCGCACTCCGTCGGCGAATCGTACACCGGCTCTGCGTGCGTGCCCGGTGATGGTCGGCTTGCCCTTTCTTAGGATCGTCTTCTGATCCGGAGAAGCGCTCGATTTAGGTGAAGACATAGACGGGCCTGCAGACGAGGAAGATGTCTTGAGGCGTGCCACAGACCCGTCGGATTGTCAATCGATACCGTGCTGTTTCTTGAGCTGCGCTAAACTGGCCCGGCGGGCCTCGAGGTCCTCTTTTGACTTGAGCATCTTCTCTGGCTGGTGGTAGAGAACTGGGAGGTCAGCATGGAGCGCCGGTTGTGGAGGGTCGACGTTGACATACCGATGAGGTATCGGTTCTGGAAGTTGAAGCCGTTGAGCTTGTCGCAAGCTTGCTTCGCATCCATTACGTCTTCATAGACAACGAATGCGGTACCCTTGGTGCCGCTGGCAATGCCCTGACGGACCTGTCTGTAGCATAGGTTAGTCACTGATATCCTTGTCGAGTGCCAATCATGGACGGGATGTGCGTACCGGATTGGGCCGAATTTTCCGAACAGGTCGAACAACTCCTCTGGAGTTACGTTGTAGCTATCATGATGTCAGTCACTGATGCCGGACGTCGCGCAGTCGATGTCGAGGGTGTGGTGAGGCTTACCTCAAGTTCTTCACGAACAGAGCTCTGTACGACAACCAGTCAGCCATGTTCCATCATCAAGCAGTACGACGGCGGTGATATCAATCGGGACCCGGAGTAGGATCGAAGCAGACAGTGCCGGGCATGTACGGCATGAGCCGTGGGGTGACGTTGGCCGGCTGCGGGTGTCGTGTGTGCGAGGCAGGGAAAAGATGCAGAGATGTACACAGGCAGGTTTGCCATTGAAGAAGAATTCGGACTCACCGGTTGACTTCTGGGGCTAGTTTACCGCCGCGACTACTCATCTCTCGATGCTCGATTGACGCTGAGAGTGTTCGATTCGGGTTGGTGAACGCTCGGGGAAAATGACAAGGACGCGCTGGACGTGATGGGGGATGGGCGGAAGTTGGAATAGGATCTGGAAGTTCTAGGAACGGCGAAAATGGGGAGTAGGCAGTAAATGAGGCGACGGGTTGGCGGGAGGCAAGGATTGGGCGAACGCTCCCACGTGACTTTGTTGGCCCCACAGACCGTCACGCGGTGGACCACTCATCATGCGTCAAGGCAGGCAATCCAGTTGCACAGAGTTGGTCTGAGAAGGTACGTACCGGCTTCGGCTTTCCGCAGACGTGGCACACTCGCAACTCCCAGTGCACTCGCGGCACCGAAGGCCTATCTCGGTCTCCGCTCACTAAAACAACACATCACGCTTGCCAGATAGACTTTGCTGGCCAATGTCACTGCCACACTCGGCCTGCTCTACCTAAGCAACGAAGGGAAGCCGGACAACGATTGCCGGAGGGGCTAGGCATTGGGCGCCTCAAAAGGAGAGTATACCATTTGCTGGAGTATTTGTGGTTCACTGGTGCCGGATGGTGATCCTGTCATTCCCATCGATGAGATGTCTTGGCGACCTCGACTGGACTTGCCGATTTCAGGTACCACTACATTCCGTGGCTCCTATGGGGTCAGCACGCCCGGTACTGCTTCTGGACCAGTTGGTGCCTCAAAACAGACTCAAACTCACACACGGTGCGACTATTGCTGGACGGAGTTGAGAAGCCGACGTTGGCACTTTGAGCACACCATCCACCTGCTGTAATCAATACGACATCCGGCTTGGGATACGCTCGAGCAGGCGACTCTCATGCAATGGTTCCTGAGGATTGCATCTCGCCCACTGGGCCCGCCCAGTGATGATGGTTGAGAAGTGGACCTCTGGGCAAGTCACAAGATCGGGTCTAAGATTGCGTAACTTGATCAATGCGATAGCAGCCTACCAACCAGGTTATCTCCCCTATCACATAATCTGGGGAAAGGTAACGGAGGAGGGGAGGCTCTGGTGAGGCACCCCTGAACAGCAACTGTTCGAGAAGGCAAGTTGGAAGTCGGAACAGACGGGTTGCAGGCTGCTAGTCAGTGCTAGGTGTCTTGGCTGCTGGCACACAGATAAATGACAGGGCGTCTCCAATAAGCTGGCCCGACCTGGCTCATCATCAGGACCGGTTCGTCCACAGCAGTGACAGGCCAGGAGGCCCCCCTCATGTGTGTTGGACATGTTGATCAACGACAAATAAACAACAACTGACACCAGCACACGCGAGCTCGTAAGCCACACGCCAATGGCTTCAGACAAGTGGCCGCCGGTTTTGTCCTTCCGTTCTCTTTCAACAGCTACTCGGGTGTTTCATTTCAGCCTGGGCCAACGACCAGCGGCTGTTTTCCCCAGATTCGCAGTCAAAGCCAAGCAGGCCCCTCCGCGGGCTGTGTGTGTGGCTGGCTCGATGACGCTGGAAAAGAAGGGTGCCTGGCGAGCCAGGGGATCCGCATGAGGCTAAACAACCGCACCTCTAGCAGGTTTCTGTTGTGCTGAACAGAAAGGGTGTCTCCTGAAAACAGACCTGACGACATCTGGCCTCGCCAAAACCGCCGTTGTCGTTGTTTAAGGCGGATGAACCCCCCTTTTGACACCTGCCTTGCCGTGTTTCTTCCCCTGCGTCGGTTGGGTTTTTTATCTCTTGGACGCTGAAACTGAATGCCATTGACCGCCCACAGAGCACAATGGCGCTTTCAACGCCTGCCAGGCTCATGGCCAATTGAAGGAATCCTACCACGTCGCCGTTACCGTTGAAGCCTCAGTCAACCTTGGGTGGCCTCTCACTCAATGTTCACTGCCCTGGACCTCAAACCTATCTCCGGAAGATTTCAGTCCCTTCCCAAAACACTTTTACGCCCTTGACAAAATTTCGTCCCTGCTCATTCCATCACACACTACTTCAACGAAGAACCTTCACTCAATCCATCCCTGATCCATCTCCGACTCTTCGCATCCAATTCCACGATACCCGCAACACTCGCCCCGACAGTTCGTCCACTCACATCATCAGCAATGGCGCTAGCAGAAGACATTTTCGTCGGTTTCGACGTTTCCGACGAGGACAAGCCGTTCCTCCTCAACGTGCTTCTCGCACCCGGCACACCGTGGGATGAGAAGCTAGCCATCTATGACCTCGGCCTCTTTAGCGGATACGAGGACTGGAACCTGATGCTGGAGAGTGCGGCCTCATTGAAGGAGAAGGACCTGGCTCGCTCGCCGCTTGATGCACGAGATATTCTAGCCTACATCCCCCGAGTTAAAGAAACCACGCTAGCCGCCGAGAAGCTACGCCAGGGTTGGGCAGCGACTGACCAGTCCATCAAGAATCTGGCCGCACTGCTGCGGGTTCATCGATCAGGCCACACTGTTGAGCCCCAGCCTCGACCTCCATCTCAGCCCGCCGTCATCAAGAGGGAGCGAGTTGTCAAGCGAGAAGTGGTTGCCCCCAAACGCGGACGGGAAGAAGAAGATGACGATGAGGAGGCCGAGCCCAAGCAGCGAGTCAAGCGGCACAGGGCCGCTCCCAAGCCATCCACATCTCACTATTTCGCGCCTCTCGCGGATGAGCAATTGCCACGCACCAGACCCGAGCAGCAATCAGTAACTCCGTCACCCGTCGACACGGCCCAGACTGTCACCTCGGCACTCATCCGCAACGGTATCGCCACGCCCAATCCCACACCTCGCAAGCAATCCCAGGAAAACGAGGCCCCGAAGGAGGGCACCACCGCCGGGCAAGACCCGCTCCACCCGCAAGTCACGACCCAAAATTCCGGCGCTGCAGCTAGCGAAACCAACGACGATAACTCTGGCGCTTTAAAAGCCAGCGGCCCGCAGACAGCCGGGAGTCTTCGGGCGGTAACGCCATCCTGGCCATCCCCACACAGCAGCCCATCTCCAACGAACTCGTCCGAATTATTGTCCCCGGAGGAGCTGAGACGGGTCAAGTCAGAGAACTAGCTCCCTCGGAGCCCTCGCCGAGACGGAAAACCGCCATCAAGTCGCCGTTCTTCGGTCAGCCGCAGACTAAGCCGTCTCCTAGATCGAAACGCGTCGGTGGTCTTGTGTCCACGATCCCCTTCCCGCCGCTATCGGCCCCGCGCTTTGGTCTGATCCAGGAAGAGTTCGCCCATGAACCTTTTTGGCTGCTTGTGGTTGTGACTTTCCTCGTCAAGACGGCCGGGACGCTGGCCATCCCTACGTTTTACAAGGTCAAGGAGCGGTTCCCAACACCGATTGATCTGGCTGAGCCGGAGGCGACCACGACGATTGTGGGCATGATCCATCACTTGGGTCTTTCAATTGTACGAACAGCGGCAATACAGCGATACGCCCGACTTTGGCTCGAGAAGCCACCGACAGCAGGCGTTGTTTATAGAGTGAAGAACTACGATAAAAGAGACGTCGAATTGGAAACACTGCGGCCCGATAGTGACGAGGATTCTCTCGAACTCACTACTGGACACGCCGGAGAAGCTGGCGAGGCGTGGGAGATGGGTCACTTTACCCAAGGCAAATACGCTCTCGACAGCTGGCGCATATTTTGCCGAGACGAGCTCCTGGGACGGGCAGAGGACTGGAACGGTAAAGGCGCCGCCCCCAACTTCCAACCCGAGTGGATGAGAGTACGACCAGACGACAAGGAGCTTCGGGCGTGTCTGCGGTGGATGTGGATGCGCGAAGGCTGGGAATGGGATCCCGCGACGGGAGAAAAGACGGTTCTTCGGGATGAGATGCGAAGAGCTGTGAATGAAGGGCGAGTGGACTATGACAACGCGGGCGAATTGGTGATTCTCGACGAGCCGCGGTCAGGCTAGAGTTGAGGGCACTTTATTGGGTCGTGTGAGTGTTTTGATGAACGATCCAGCCCAGACTGGATTTGAAGTTTGGTTCGATACCCGCACCACAGAATGGTGCATTAAGCACTTACGACATTAGACACGACGGCGTCGTTAGACGGGCTGCTCAGGTATATTCGAGCAGCATAAATAAGAAGCACATGATCAAATATGAGCCTTGCCAACACTGACATGACCCAAAACTGGTTTGCCGGAACATCTGTTCGCGTGGTTTCCCCTATACAGCATCAATAATTTCCAAACGGTGTGCTGGCTTGACTTTCTCTTAACCACCTCACCACTGGGTTTGCAGTCTAGGTATGCCGTGCCACTCGAACCACCGCCAATCATCTTTCAATCTGAACTAAACTCGGCGCGTTACCTCGTGGCACAGCATCGCACACCCTGGATCGCCCTCTGGGGTCTGATCTTGTCTCACTCTTGAAGAAACCTACTCCAGACCGTCCTCCACACTGCGTGAGTCGTTGTTTACATGCCACCCTGTGTTGCAATCCCACGCCGGACCATCCGAAGATCAACGGCGTGCCACGTTCTCTCTGCCGCGCCCGCACGTGCATCGCTACCGCTTGTTCCCAATGAACTGATGCTACTAGTCATTCAGCCCTCATACGAGGGATGCAATATGTGATGAGAGTCAGTCGGATACAGCGAGATGTAGCCTCAATGAACCGGCGTGCTGAGTCGGTCGGTCGACATGTCGTCTGGAAAAGGCAGGACCCCGTCGCCCGCCCGCCTCGGACCTCGCAGCGTGCCCCGCAATGTTCGTAGCGCCCTTGTGCAGCGGTTTCCTTTTTGCAGCAGCTGCAGCAGCCGTATCAGTTAGCGCTGTGACCCCACACTAACTATCCTCTCTTCCCCCCCCCCCCCACCATCGCGCAGCGCACACAGGCGGCCCCCAGACGCCGTCTGCGGCAGGGTGGTGCGCCTCTTACAAAAGAGCGATTGGGACGACTGGCTGATCATCGTCGTCCCCCTTCCCCCCGCGCTGCTTTCAAGAGGATCGCGTAGTTTCTGGACAAACCACAACCTTCCTCTGCAACCTCCCACCGGTATTCTTATTTTTGCAGGAAAACGACGCCACGATGGGGTCCCAGATTGACTCGCAAGACGAGTTCACGGTGCTCGTCACCGGCTTCGGCGTACGTTTTTGGATCCCCACCACCCGCCCGTCTCCCGCGACTGCCCCTCCTTTTGCAACCCCGCCATGCCGACGGCACGTTTCTGTCCATCGTGACCGACCGACGCGCCGCGGCTCCCCGTCCACGAACCCCCAATTGCTGAGAAACAGCCTCGCCTGTGACTGACCAGACCGTGCTCTAGCCATTCAAAGCCCAATACCCCGTCAACCCCTCCTGGGAGATCGCCCACTCCCTCCCCTCCTACCTCCCACCGCTCCGCGCCAAGAACCCGAAAGAGCACCCCTCGTCCTCGACCCCTTCCTCCTCCAGCCGGCCCCTGCCGCCCGTCCGGATCCTTGTCCACCCCGAGGCCATCCGCGTCAACTACCAGACCGTCCGCGCCCTCGTCCCGCAGCTCTGGGACCCGGCGACGCACCCGCGCATCGACGCCGCCGTGCACATCGGCATGGCCGGCCCGCGCCTGTTCTACTCGGTCGAGCGCCGCGGCCACCGCGACGGCTACACGTTTCCGGACGTCGACGGAAACCGGCTCGAGGACGAGGATCGGCGGCGGGAGGAGGGGGACAAGTGGGTGTGGCACGGCATGCCGCCCGAGATCGAGACGGGCTTGGACCTGGCTGAGGTTTTGGAGCGGTGGAAGGCGCACAGTCCGGTGAGTTTTCTTGATCTATAAGAAATCGTCGTGTTTCTAGTGCTGGCCATGTCGCCGTTAGAGGTTCAATGCTGACGACGGAAAACAGGAGGGCTCTGACCTGCGGATATCGGAAGACGCGGGCCACTACCTCTGCGACTTCATCTACTTCTCCAGCCTGGCGCACCTCTGGAAGGCGGAGAAGCACCGCAGGGTGACGTTCCTCCACGTCCCGTCGGACGCGTCGGAGGAGTCCGTCGCCCGCGGCACCGAGCTGGCCATCCAGCTGATCCGGTCCATCGCCGAGAGCGAGCTGCGCCGGAGGAGCAAGGGGGTCGAGGAGGAGGTCGTGGCCAATGACGACAAGATTGCAGTCGAGCTGCGGGTTTGATACAGGGATCTGATCCAGTGATCATGATGAGATTCGGTGCGTGGGAGATTGGGGTTCGGCAGCATGTGTCTGACTATCTGGGCGGTTGGCGAGGGGCATCATGGACGGTATAGCATGCGGATGTAGCATGGAGTTTTGTGCTATTTGTGCCGATTTGAGTCGGCCTTCATGAGTGGATAACGAACGGCGTCAGGAATACGAGTCGACGGCCAGGTTACTTATGCAACAATGATTATGTCTCTGGTCTTTGCCTCTTGAAACAATTGCTATGCATAAGATGTTTACACTTTCCTTTGAGAATATCTTCCAGCGTTTGTCGGTTCTAGGCCGGTATCCAGTCCTTCTGCTGGGTAGTCTCGATGTGGAGGGACGGGAGGAAAGTCGACTAATGAGACTAGCGACATCGATCAGCACCACCTCTAACAGCAACTCAAGGGGACGTCATAAAAGGCCTATGATTCCGGAGGAGCACTCTACGTCACGAACTAGCTCCCTCTTGTCGGAACCGCACATTGAAGAAGGTATGGGGCTAGTCTTCGGAGCATTATGCGTGTAATTTAGAGTCCAATCTTCGACTTCGCTTGTGATCGTGAAGGTGAAACCCTCGTATCTTCCTTACCGGCCTTCTGACATGTCTACATTCATGGATGAATACGCCGATACTAACACAGGATGCCGGGAGCGCTGGATGTTATATAACAATGTGTTCGAACTCGGTTGCGATTGCATCAGCCATGCACTCGGTTGTGATTACCACTGTCGCATCGATGGAGCACAGCACCAACAGTCAGAAAGCCGTTCAAAACCCCATTTTTCCGAATAAGCTGCTGACCCACAAGCTACCGTGCTGGTCATCGGCGCTGTACAGTAAAAGTAAGTTGGGGCCCGCCGTGGTATGCGGCGCTACATATATCATCATGTCACTACTTAGTCTCGGCAACTGTTGACAACCTGTATCGACATGGGACATCCTGAGGAGGGCCGGAACATGCTGTGTACGTAAGGAGGCATCTGTAAATAGGGTGATCTCCGCGAAAACACAAATATGTTGTTGAATTCGGTGGACTGAAGAGATGCACTACATGTTACAGATGACCAGCTCAATAGACGTCCAGAAGGGAGGGTGCGAAGACCAGACGAGAAACGAAAGCGCACGGACGACCCGACGACCCACTTTATTAAGTCCTCTCAACCACACAAAACATCATGTCTCTCGGCCGGCAATGCGATCCGTTTCCGCTTCCCCGCAGAGGATGGTTGATATAAATCAAATCTGCGGAAATTCCGCAAGTTCCCGTGATGTAGTTGGTTTATCATATCGTTCTTATAATTACGTAATCCATGTAAGAGATGCGAAGGTCGCGAGTTCGAGCCTCGCCGGGAACATTTTTCTTGAACTTATCTACCTTCTTCATTTTTTGCAACTCGGGTCTTCCCTTTTCAGCATTAACTCTTCTCTTACGGCATCGTTACAACACGCACGAGCAAAGTGGCTTTCTGTGCCTTTCGCTCGGCTTATTTCCAGCCTTCATTTCTCCCTGGTGTACGCATCATGCATCCCTAGAGCCAGCAACGTACTTGTGAGCCCTAGGTTCCGGTTAGTTGAGGTTCTGATTGAGGCGATAAAAATAACGTGGGAAATACATACCATTGCTCCCACTGGTTTTGGAAAATTAGTCTCAGGTAGTCTTTTCAACGATAGTCTCGTACACGAGCCTCTTGCTCCGCCCATTGCTGCCCGCTATATGGTACTAGCAAGCGGTTTCCTCACACGAAAAGGCTGGTCATCTGCGGCAGAATGCATTCTTTCGTAACTGAATGATGGCACATACTGTTAACATACCATCAAAAACTGAAGCAAGTTTCAATGTGGATGCTGGGATTACCGACCTCTGCTACTGGCGCAGGATATGTCAGCGACATGCTTGGGCAGAACTTCCCAAAGCCAAAGGCAGTAACTAGCAAGCATATCAGTGTAACAATCTCACTTAAAGTCAAGAGGAAGGTTTGGGTAAGAATATATTCACGTAAAATATGAATCGAAACCCCTCAGGCGTGGCCCTCGCCATGTCAGGGCACCGCTATACTGCGAGATACTTGCAGAAGATTTCAGGGGATGCACTCGGCCAAGCTCTTTTTATGCATCTAAAATCATCTTCTTCGAACCTCGTACGACTCCACTCGTGGAGGCAAAGTTCTTCAGCATGAATGTTACCAGGCTGAATGTCTTGTGCAGTGAAGCGTCTACGCAATCATCGGCTTGCTACCTCGCCTGGGATGTGAAGGAACCTCGGACCTAATAAGAATCATGTCCGGACGTGTAGTGCAGAACCATAGGGTCACAGATACGTGCGTCAGAGCTCACGTCCAACAACCAAGGACATCTTTTGAGCGATCATTAATGAACGAATCTCTTCTCATTAGCAAAACAGTGATACATGAGTCTTGAGATACATGCATTTCACACTCGAATTATTTTTTTAGTCTTTCCTCGAAATGAACCTCCTTCAGATACCAGCGCCTTTTTCCAATCCACCTTGCACCATTTCCTCTCACTTCCATACCTCGACTTCCCGTCTCCAACCCGCAAATCTCCCGATCTCCGTTTCACTGTCATTGCCCTCTGTCTGGTAATCTCGTACACCGTAAAGTGCGCCTCGGTTAAGCTCAAGGTCTGGCTGAAGCAGCTGCCTGCGGAGGAAGGTGTTGCGGAGCAGGCCCGTGTCTCCTCCACCTTCGACACACCACTCCAGCGTCCAAAACCTGCCGGCACCGGCACCGGCCCCGTACCCACCAAGCCGGAATTTCACAGTCGCATTGCCGATGTATTCTCCCATTTGATTGCTTCTGAAATTGACTTGCTGCTGCAATTGACTGTGTAATCCAGGAACGTGAGATATCTGTCAAGCATGCGCGTGAAACCACTGGCCTCGATCTTGCGGTGGTCTCTTAATGCTTCCACCAAAGTTACACACGGAGCTGCGAGCCCCAAAATCGGAACAGTGTCTCTTGGTAACGACGCAGCCCAATTTGGCCCTCAGTCGCTCTTGAGACAGCAGCCATGCACATAGCATGTTAGTAAAGTGGCAGAGACAGCCCAACAACAACATAAGATGGTATGAATCGAATGAAAGTCCTCTCTGCTCGTTAGTCCTCGGCACAGTCTTTCGTAGTCCGCTGAGTGCGGTATTGTTTGACCGGATAAGTGCGAAAGAAGACATGGACATTGGAATTTCTATGGGTCACAGCAATTTACCATCGGCTTAGACATGCATCGTGGCGTGGTGCATTGCGGTGTTACCACTAGACGCACTTTGGGCACCGGCCTCCATTGCTTTTTGAACTCCGCCAAAGACGCTGGACGCATAGTTGGTAGTTTGTGAGAACAGAGACCGAGTATCCACGACTATATTTCTGCAGTACACCTCGTTGAGCGTGATGCAACTGTTGCTTTGTGCGTGCACGCCTGTTCCTATCAATAGACGCCACACATGAACAGAGCGCCGCGCCTATTCTTCGACATCGACACCAAATTATCTATGTTTCCTCAATGCTCCTAATAGTAAGGACTGAAGATCTTGTTTGTTAGATCTGGTCTGTCAAACTGTTCAAATTCAATATAAGAGAATGGTGAGGTGCTTGTCAACGTGGATTTTGTATGTATAGCACCTTCGCCTCTTTCTGAATTCTAATGTGGCTTTTGCAGCTCCCTCTCGATCTTTTCAGCCTGCTCATGTCTCCCCTGGGAATGGTATGTTCCCGCAAGATTTTCCATGCTGCTAATTGTATCAGGATGCCTTACGCCAAGAATCTCCTGCCGTAGCCCTAGCACTTCTGTCCCAATCTTTTCAGCCTCGTCATACCTCCCTTGATCATGGTATGTTATTGCAAGTGAAGCCAGACTTCTAATCGTCTCAGGATGCCTTGCGCCAAGAATCTCCTGCCGTAGCCCTAGCGCTTCTGTCCCAATCTTTTCAGCCTCGTCATACCTCCCTTGATCATGGTATGTTATTGCAAGTGAAGCCAGACTTCTAATCGTCTCAGGATGCCTTGCGCCAAGAATCTCCTGTCGTAGCCCTAGCGCTTCTGTCCCAATCTTTTCAGCCTCGTCATACCTCCCTTGATCATGGTATGTTATTGCAAGTGAAGCCAGACTTCTAATCGTCTCAGGATGCCTTGCGCCAAGAATCTCCTGCCGTAGCCCTAGCGCTTCTGTCCCAATCTTTTCAGCCTCGTCATACCTCCCCTGGTCGTGGTAGGTTGTTGCAAGTTCGGCCATGCTCTTTATCGTCTCAGGATGCCTTGCGCCAAGAACCTCTTGACGCGACTTTAGCACTTCTATATCGATCTTCTCTGCCTCGTCATATCTACCCTGGGCGTAGTAGGTTGTTGCAAGTGAAGCCAAGCTATTTATCGTTTGAGGGTGCCTCTTCCCAAGAACCTCTTGACGCGACTTTAGCACTTCTATATTGATCTTCTCTGCCTCGTCATATCTACCCTGGTCGTGGTAGGTTGTTGCAAGTTCAGCCATGCTATTTATCGTTTGAGGGTGCCTCTTCCCAAGAACCTCTTGACGCGACTTTAGCACTTCTATATTGATCTTCTCTGCCTCGTCATATCTACCCTGGTCGTGGTAGGTTGTTGCAAGTGAAGCCAAGCTCTTTATCGTTTGAGGGTGCCTCTTCCCAAGAACCTCTTGACGCGACTTTAGCACTTCTATATTGATCTTCTCTGCATCGTCATATCTACCCTGGTCGTGGTAGGTTGTTGCAAGTTCAGCCAGACTTCTAATCGTGTCAGGATGCCTTGCGCCAAGAATCTCTTGACGCAACTTTAGCACTTCTATATCGATCTTCTCTGCCTCGTCATATCTACCCTGCTTGTAGTATGTTGTCGCAAGTGAAGCCATGCTGCTAACCGTGTCATGATGCCTTGCGCCAAGAACCCTATGTCGTATCGATAATGCCTTTGTATCCAACGGCTCTCTTTCGTTCCACCGTCCACGGTCGTACAGATAGACTGATACATCGCTCAGAAGGCTTGCAATTTCTTCGTCCGTACCTGCTTTGCAACTTTCAGCCCAGTCACTGCTCTGTAATGCATGAGGAAGCCACAACTCGCATTCTTCCCAGGCTTCTCGCAGACTCGGTGGGAAGAGGTCTGATACAAGAAGCAAGGCCGCCTTGGAATATTGCGCTGCCTCCTGTCGACGTGCTTTCTGGCTCAAGCTATATCGTGCTGCATCCTGAACAAGCTTGTGCATATCGTATGTCTGCCTAACTGTTTGATCTTTCCGTATAGATAAGAATGAAAACTCTCTCAGTCGAGCCACAGCGGTAGCGACAGCTTCGTCATCTTCGTCTGATTCATCCGAGTCATCCTTACTCTCTGTGGACGAGTCGGTACTGCTCGAACTTTTTCTGTCATCGTTGACGCCTGAGTGTATTGCCGCCCTGATGAAACTTATCGGAATGTTTTGATTATGGACGTAGGCAAGAGTAAGAAGAAGCCGATACGCCATATCATCCTCCTGCCTGATGTGCTCCATCGAAATGGTCCACGTCTCTAGGATGCTGTTCGGAACTTCACGTCGACGATGCCGGTCATGCTCCGACTTCTGCAGAGTTCTCCACCTTTTCTTCCCTTCTTTAAGTCTCAACAAGTACTCTGCCACCGGCGTTGGTCTTCGGCGGATGTATGCAGCGGCTTGCGAAACGGCAAGAGGGAGGCAGTCCATCTCTGCCAACAACTCAGAAACAGCGCCATTCTCGTCAACGGCAACCTTCTCATTTCTCAACGTCTCGAAAAGCGCCGTGGCCTCATCAGTGGTCATACGGCCGACTGACACTCCTCGTCGAGGACCCACAAGACTGCCTACAATCTGTTCGTCGCGGCTCGTCCAGAGCACGGTGCCGACAGGGGCCCGGGGAATATAGTCGTCTAAACAGGTCTCATCAACCGTAGCTTGAGTGGTTTTCGTTCTCTTTCCGACGCCAAAGATGCCGAGATTGTCTGCGTTATCGACAATGAGCAGCCAGCGAGGCTGCGTTTCTATCCACTCGCGCACAGCCCTAAGCAGCTCCTTGCCTTGGAATTTGTCTGTAAGGCCAGCTCTTCTCGCAAGCGCTTCGTAGTCTTGTGTAAATGTCGATTCGTTGTCTGCGTGGACCCAGTAAACGGAGCAGTTCGTCTCGCGAAACCGGCGGTACGCAAACTCGAGCGCTATTTGTGTTTTCCTGTAGCAGTTAGTGCTCTGTGCCTTCAAGGAGCGATGGTGGCCTACCCAGAGCCCCCGAGACCCCAGAGAGCAGCACTCTGGTAATCGGCGACGGGTGGAAGGAGCCTGTCGAGTTCAGTGAAGACATCGGGGCGATCAATTATGTCGTTGTTGTGTTCGAAAGGAACGATGAAGAGGGGTCGCGTGGTTGTAGTGGTCGCTGGTGGGCCTAGAAACTTGAGTTTGTCTTCGAGCGGCGGGGTAGTGCCATGCTTACGACCGTCAGAAACCGTCACGTTGAGCGTCCCACCGGTTTCAACGTGAGCGCCGGGGAACGCAATATGTCCAGATGTTGATCCGAATGAGGTTTGCCCATCCATGGCGGCAGAATCAGTACAGTAAATGATAATTTGGAGGTCTGGTCGCAACGCCGGGGTTTCAGTATGACCAACTGTGAGATGGATCGGTCGCAACACAATGAGGAAATCAGGCTGGCTTGGCCTGCAGGCGTCAACAACACGTGCTTACTTTCTCAGCTGCATCGTGCCCACACCTACAGCCTTCAATCCCCTACCCTGTCGCTGGTATAGCCCGGCCACGAGCCATCACCGTAGCCATCTGTCCAAGTTGGTGTGTGAGATGAAACGCCATGCATCGTCTTCAAAGACGGTGTGTCTATGCAGGTAGTCCTAGACGAACTCTCCCAGAGGGTTTGACATGACAAAGTGCCGCCAGTAGAGTTGATTCGCTGGTCGTACGCTAGTCGCAACCTCAAGGACGACCATCCGGGATAGGGCTACTCCTGTTCGTGCAAATGTTCATTGGTATATGAGGCCTGAATGCTTGATTTCTCTCAGTGAAAGCCCGTTCTCTTGGCTCTGCTAATCGCTTTGAGCTGACTAGACGCCCAAGTTGTATGTGAGGAAAACATCAAAGCCACCTGGGTAACCCGGCTTGGTTCAGGTGCTTAAATACGGGCACGTTATCGCTGCTTCTATCAGCTTCAAGGCTCGCTTCTGACCAAAGGGGTATTGTCGGTATGATAGTCGCTGGGCTCGTATAGCCGTCGACTCTGAACTCGGCTTGATGTTCATTGATCTTTGTGATATTAGGAAGTCTATCAGCCACCAGAAACCGGGTATGTGAATCTCATTACATCCACTAGATCGGCAGTATCGCGTTGCTACGGACCATTAGCTTGTGGACACTTATACTGATCATGACGGGCCGAAGTGCTAGAGGTTCTGGAACAAGGACAACCTGAGGCTATATGACCTTGACTTGGCAAATGCGGCATTGTCATCACCGCCGGCGTTCTGGAGTTACTCGGAACTTTGAGGATGGAACTCAAATACCGAAAAGGTCACTTTGGCAGTAGGCTTCTTAGCCTTCATCTGGTTGTTGACAGCGTCCGACTGTGTGGAGCAACTAACAAGAGACACATGTTTTCAATAGGTCTTGAATAGAAAGCAAAGATGTGCGTAGGTCAGGCTTCACACCAAGTTACTGAACTCGTGCCGCAGATACTGAGAGCATGCTCCTGCCTCGAGCAGCCCATTAACCGACGCGCGGAGTTCCCACTTTAGCAGCCGCCAGCCTCACCAGAGAGTTGACACACGCGGCTTTTTGCTTCATTCGGTAGTTGTAAACAAACACTGAAGAGACAAATGTTTCAAACCTCGAGTGGTCTCTCAGGTCTTTAACTTAGCGAAGGTAATGGATATAGTGAATCGAAGACAGCCTGCAAACCGAACAGCAACAATCCACCAACGCCTTGCCTCTGAAGATCAAACCTTTTGCTTGTTTACATCCCGTCATTATGCATACAACTCCTACTTGCTAGCGTCCCTCACGTTTCTCCTCCTTCGACAGCCTATAGTCGCCCTCCAGCGCGGAAAACGATAGTCGCCAATCGTAACTCGGAATCGGAGAGTTTACCCGGTCCTCGGACATTGGTAGCTCGACTGGTGCGGCCCTGGGGATAGCAAGTGGCGCAGGAGCAACTGGCAGCGTGGACTGGTTGTCTGGGGCTTCGAACACAGAACTTGGTGCTATGGACGATATGCGAGGGTCACTGCCTCTCGGTCAGCTAGGATTTCATTAAGAAAAAAGCACGCATTAGAGTACTCACAAGTAAGTCTGTATGCCGTTAATGGGATGAAAAAATCCGTTAGGCTGAGGGCTCCTCGGAGGTGAGAACTGGCCCGTAGGTGTGGAATCGTGGTACGGACCACCACTGAATGCGCTGTAGTGACTGCTCCTCCATTCTTGAACGGTCGGGGTCTTTGGCCGCGTCACGTAGTTGACTTCCGTAACAGCTGGTTGCGAAGGTTGCGGCGGTTGTGCTTGATACACGTTTGAGGCTCGTCGGTAGGCACGGTCGAGCCCACCACGTCGTCCGCATAAGTAGATCAACCCTCCGCCGAGCAGCAGGAAGGCCAAAGAGCCAACTACAATGCCTGCAATTTGCCCGCCACTTAGGCTGTGGTGGTAATTGTTAATGACGGCACCGTTGCCGTCGGAAGAAGCAGAGCTGCCAGAGCCGCTGGTTGGCTTGGGAGCGTCCGATTCTACAGGGAAAGACTCGCCGGGAAGGATCTGGGTCGTCAAAGGAAGTGCCGCCTCGAGCTGCTTGTCTAGCGTTTTGGTCGAGTTCTGACTCTGTCAGTGGCCCGTCATCGTCTCGAAGCAAGAAATGTCAACTTACCTCGTTGATAACCCCAATCATCTTCTCCTTATAACATGAACCAGGGGCGCCGCAGTAAAAGAAAATCGGATCAGTATCGTTGACAAGGACCCTGTATCGTGGCATCTGTAGAGTGTTAATTGAGGAGTTACAACGCTCCCGTCATTTTACTGACATTATTCGTGATGGCCTTGACAGATTGAGGGCCGCTGTAGAACCCTTGGCGGCCAATATCCACATACTCGTACGGCGTGCAGGGGAAACCGAACTCGGCGCGGATGACAGAGTGAGCATCAGGATAGAAAATCCACTCGATGGTATCGCCGACATTGGCCTCTGTCTTGGAAGGCGTGAACGACCATCCCGACTATTGAAGGTAAGTTTCTATCCGGCATATCAACAACAGAGCGCCTTACTACACCAACGGCAATGGTATGGGTCTCTGCTGCCGCAATAGAGGCAGAAGAACTTTCAGTTGACGACGCCTCTGCCTTGACGTCAAGCGTTTTAGTTGGGCTGGGAGCAGATGCCGCTGTTGTTGTGAGGAATGGTGTTGGTGATATCGGGGTCTGGGCTTTCACCAGGATTGCCAGGGTGGCAGCCCCCAATACTGATGACCATACCATTTCGAACAAGCTGTACAGTCCAGTCACGAGACTCGTAGGAGCATGAACAACAGATGGTGAAGGAAGGGAGGAAGGGCTGCCAGAAGGAGTAAAAGGTGCGTTACAGCAGGGGACCAGAACAATACTTATTTCTAACGGCTTGCTATTGTAAGTGTCGGCCCGAGCAAAGCGACGGGGCTTGAAGGGAACTCGGGCCCAAGGGCTGAGACCGCATTTCTGCAGCTCCTTGCACCACTGTCTGACGGGACGCATGCAAGAGCCTTAAGCTGAGCGCTTAACCCCGGAGTCTGGAGTGTTGAGCCACTGCCGCCTTGGGAGGTCGTCGCGAGAAAGAAATCTACAGGTCAGCATGCAGACGTGAGCCTCCAGACGGAGTGGGGACCTGTGAGATGGCTTGTTCCAAGGTGATGAGTGAGTCGAGCCCTGGCAGTAATGGAACGACTGAGGGTCCCGTCGCTAACCTACGACTAACTGGGAAGACGAAGACCGGCGGGTGGTACACTTGCCACGATACCGATAATCACCAAGAGCGGAGGCAGCAATCATTGTGTTCAACGTTACGTGACGCTTTCTTCCATGACACTTGACCAGGCTAGAAACACACCAACAAGTTGGTCAAAGAGAACGTTTGGTTGCAGTCAAGAAGCCACCGCAAGTAAACGAAAGCCGTAAGATATACCAGCTCGAGAAGATAGAACTATAGTCCTCTGTGAGCCTGCTTCAGAGATCGCGAAGGATCAGATGGGGTGGTTTCTAAAACGTGGGCGAAGCTTGACATCCCGGACACGTTTTTCTGCCGCTAGTGCTCTGTAGGTACTCGGTCCGCGGCTAAAGAATAATGTTTGGTGGCGCCCTCCCTAAGGGTTGCCCGGCCGAGGAAGCGGACAGCCCACGCGAGTAGGGGCCCTCATCGGAGCTGTTGCCACGAGTCCGGCCCGGTGGCCCATGGGGTAAGGCCAGTTCGCCGGACAGGTTGGAGACTATCAAAGGCAAAGCCGTTGATGGCAGAGGGCACTCACTTGGTCTTGCGTCACCCCCAGTTGAGTGTTGCTGATTATGGAACTGTACGTCGGAGCCGAGTACATATAAGCCAGGAAAACGGCTTCGCTGTCCGGGTCGACAGAGCAAACATTCATCTTGAAGGGGGAAAAGAGCGACAGCCCAACTGAGGTACGTTGAAATCGGACAATGCAGACGCTAGAGCATTGGTATGGTCTTAGTGTTGCACTAATGCCAAGCACCGGGCAATGTCTGGCAATCTGGTAAGGCTCAGGGCTGAGAGTGAGACAGCACGTGGACAAGAGATGATGGTACTCCCTTGGAAGCCGACTATGTTCATACTGAGCGGGCATCTTTGATACAGGCTGAGCCCGGTGGCGATGCCGGACATCAGCACAATGGCCAGGGACCAAGTTGAGAAAGACAAGACAACGTCTGCGAGAATGCCGAACGAATGACTGCAGCTCCGGTCTCTCGAAAAGCAGGTAATGCTTAGTCTGAACGATGACCATTTTCTGAAAACCTGGACATCGAAATTGTAATGTCCAATACTCGCTGTGCTGGAGAACGCAGCTCTTCCAATGAAGCGACATCAATGCGAGTGGCCAGGCCCTGATCTTGAGTCTACGAGCTATGGTATTCAAAGCTTTCAAGAATGGACCTGAGAGACCTTCCCAAAGCAGATCGTATGAGAACGCGTCGAATATGTAAGGCTCCTGGACGTGTTGAGCGTGAGCTACATCAAGCAAAGCGCTCAGCGATCAAGCTCCGATGCAATCGTCACTGCACAGACCAAGTTTAAACGTGCGGTGGCTGACGGAATTCCGGCACTTTCGGTGGTGCAAAAATAAGAATCTGAGAAGCAGGAGGAAGTAGGTCGGAGATAAGCCAGCTGCGCGAGCAATCCTTCGAAGACTGCATGAGCAATATGAGACAGACCCCAAATAGATGGTACCCACTACCGCGGCTCATACACGGAAATAGACGTAGGTATGAAATGGCACTTTTAGGCACCAATCAATAGCTAGAGGACGAAATTTAGAACAACCACGGCTCGTTTCTTGCCCGCGAACAAGCTGATGGGTAGTCATGAGATGAGACCAAGGTCGACGACTCGAAAGGCATGAGCAAGATTATGAGTACAATCTACAACTGAAGGCCAGACCATGGCGTTGCAGCAAAGTTTAACAATGAGGATAAGTGTCCGCGAATCATCCATAGAGACCAAGAGGTAAACTCGAGCCGCTGAACCAGCGTTAGAATGTGCAACGAACTCGGTGTTGTCAACGAAATGCTCATCATGATTATGGTGTAGTGCCGGGGTGAGGTGCAGATGTCGTAACGTCCCAGATGCTGCTGCTGTTGTTTACGTCCCTCGCTGACTAAAGAAACTGGGACGTCCCTTAGCGTGGTTTGCAACACCTCAAGCGGGTCCAGAGGCTTGGGAAGACCCACTACTAGCAGAGCTCTTGGCCAATCCGATCGCAGTTTCAGAGCTTGACCTCTCCCGGGAAAAAAGTTCCAGCCTCGCGCCAGTGGACAGGACGACTGCGCCTTTGCCTCACGCGGCAATCTTCATCTCCATTGTCAATCACCCTCTCCAGTCTTGGTTGCCCATCATCGAAGATTAGCCTTGCTACGCCACACGTATCCGCAATCATGAACGGCGACGGCTATTCTCGCGGTAAGTGCATCCGAATTGAAGAGCGCGACCAATTAGCCCCTGGCTCTAACATCAGGCTTTTGGGAAGAAGGACGAGGAAAGGGATCTCGCGACTACCCGGTAAGTCTTACCCACTGCGCCTTCCAACCGAGACAGCGGCTAACAGAGGATACAGAGAGATCGCGACGATAGACGCGGTGATCGAGACAGACACCGAGACCGAAGGCGCTCCCGTTCGCCCTACGATCGAAGCTCGAGGCGTCGCGACGACGAGGACAGCTATGCGACCAGCCGCAGCCATCGCGAGCGCGAGCGAGAGGACAGATACTCTGGCCGCGAGAGACGCGGAGGCGACCGAGAATGGGATCGCGACCGTGCATCATCAAGACGCGATGCCAGAAGAGAGGACGATGACCGCCCGCGAAGAGACCGCGATCCGTACGATGACCGACGCCGAGGCGGACGAGACAGAAACGAGGATGCCAGCTTTGGCCGACGCGAACGCCAGCGGAGCGCGACGCCGCCCCCAAAGAAGAGGGAACCCACGCCTGACCTGACCAACGTCACGTCAGTCCTGGAGCGCAAGCGACGTTTGACCCAGTGGGACATCAAGCCCCCCGGTTATGAGAATGTCACTGCTGAACAAGCCAAGCTGTCAGGCATGTTCCCTCTGCCCGGTGCTCCCCGCCAGCAACCCATGGATCCGAGCAAGCTCCAGGCCATCATGAACCAGCCAGGTGGCCAGGTTAATAGTGCTGCGCTGAAGCCTAGCAACTCGCGCCAGGCTAAGCGACTGCTCATCAACAATCTTCCTCCTTCTGCGACCGAGGAAAGCATCCAGAACTTCTTCAACTTGCAGCTGAACGGACTGAATATTATTGAGAGCACCGATCCCTGCACTAGCTGTCAGCTTTCGAAGGATCACTCGTTTGCTGTAGTCGAGTTCAGAAACGCATCCGAAGCCACCGTGGCGCTGGCCCTTGACGGAATTTCAATGGAGGCCGACGACGCCACAAACGGAGAGGCAGCCGACCAGGGGCTGGTGATCCGCCGGCCAAAGGATTACATTGTTCCGGCTGTGGTCGACGATGTCCCCTACGAGCCGGGTGTCGTGTCCAACGTCGTGATTGATACGCCAAACAAGATCAGCATTGCCAACATGCCCTCTTATCTCTCTGACGAGCAGGTCTCAGAGCTTCTGGTGTCTTTTGGTGAGCTCAAGGCATTTGTCCTTGTCCGTGACAGAAGCACGGAGGAGTCTCGGGTAAGCCCTGATCATTCTAGTTGTTGCGGCTCACACTGACTAATTGCGTAGGGCATTGCGTTCTGCGAGTACGTTGATCCCGCAGCCACGGATGTTGCCATTCAGGGCCTCAACGGTATGGACCTTGGCGATAAGAAGCTTAGGGTTCAGAAGGCCAGCGTGGGTGTCACACAGGTAGCTGGAGTGGAGATGGGTGTCGCCGCCATGTCTATGCTGGCGGGAACGACTTCAACGGACTCCGAGGAGACCCGCGTCTTGCAGCTTCTCAACATGGTGACGCCCGAGGAGCTGATGGACAATGACGATTATGAAGGTAAGGGAATGCTCCCTACTCAAAACCTGGCATATGCTGATACCTCCCAGAAATCAAGGAAGACGTCCAGGAAGAATGCTCCAAGTTTGGCACCGTTCTTGACATCAAGATTCCTCGGCCAGTCGGAGGAAGCAGACAGTCTGCTGGTGTGGGCAAGATCTTTGTCAAGTTCGAAACGAAAGAGTCGGCCAAGAAAGCGCTTCAAGCGCTTGCGGGACGCAAGTTTGCGGATAGAACCGTCGTCACGACCTATTTCCCAGAGGTGAATTCCCTTGATTCTCCTCTTTCCATCCACAGCTCGCTAATCATTTTGCAGGAGAACTTCGAGGTCGGCGCCTGGTAATTGTTTTTGCGATGGACAGCTGGGGAAACAGAAGAAACCATTATGGAAAGGGGCAGGTCTCGGCGGAAAAAGAAATCTCAGGCTAGTCGTCTTCTGACTGCCTTGTAACCAACCAAAATGCTGTATCATAATTCCGTGGCGAGGCGAGCAAGGCATGCACGTGGCATGGAGTATTTTCTCAGTCGCTCGGGTTAGGACAACTTGCGGATGCTTCCTGGAGCTGGCGTGGTGGCTGCGAAAAATGCAAGAAAACTCCATTACACGTTTCTCAGTTTAAGCTGTGGCCGCAGCTTATGTTGTGCTACATGTATAGGCCGACCTTTGCTACCTGAAGTGATCAACATGGGTTACATAGTGGCATTAAACAGATGATCAGAATACGATCAATATTCACAGCGAGTCTCGTGAGCTGGCACAGATTGGCAGAAGGGTTGTTGTACCAGTAATACAGAGTAATGTCAATTTTCTATATCCTATCGTCTCATGTACCGTGACTGTCAGTGCAATCTCCTCGATGGAGCACAAATTTAGCATCACTTGACGCGTGGTTCCATAGCTGAGGATCATCTGAGAGAAGGGTGACCTTGAATACTGTTAGCTTCGTGTCTGAAGAGAGCAGCAAACAAATATGTTGGCGAGGGTGCAAGTATCAGAAGTCCTTTTCATTCATGAAGCCCAAAGGCTTTAAAATAAGAGGTACCAGAAAATAGTGTAAAATGGAGGATCATCATTTGATGCGAGAAGCGTGTGAGTGTAAGGACGTGTATAGCTTACCTGAGAGAGCTGGCGCAAGCGCCGTCACGACACAGTTTCTATGAGCGGCAAACTTGTTTCTCTGGAAAGAGATGAAGTTGAGGGAGCAAAGAGAAAATCTTTGAGGTCCCGAAGCTTGAGGTAAGCAAAGAGACGCACGGACCAAAGAAGAGGCTGCCATGCACGGACCTATGAACCCACCCAGTGGTCCTACTGCCCGAAATTTTCTTGACCAGTCTCTGACCACTTGCAGACAGGACGCCGCAGCAGAGGGAGAGAGAGCGAAGAGGAAGGAGCGATTAATACGAGTGCCCTAATTAAGCGAAGATTCGCCGGCCTCGCACAATCCACTCGCACCGCCCGACCCAGCCAGCCCGCCTCTCGCAACGTATCGCTTTTGATCGTGAACTTTTTTCCCTTCCCTTTTCCCAAATTCGACCAGCGACCGACCGACTGACCCCCTCGTCTCCAGCCGACAACAACCACCACCAACACCGTCAAAATGGGCCGTCTTCACTCCAAGGGAAAGGGTATCTCCGCCTCGGCGATCCCCTACTCGCGCAACCCCCCTTCGTGGCTCAAGACCACTCCCGAGCAGGTCGTTGACCAGATCTGCAAGCTGGCCAAGAAGGGTGCTACCCCTTCCCAGATCGGTGTCATCCTCCGTGACTCCCACGGCGTTGCCCAGGTCCGCGTTGTTACCGGTAAGTTCAAGATCAAGAAACCATGCCATGAAAAGAAAATTTCTAGAATTTGCGACTGACTTTTCCGCTTCAGGCAACCGCATTCTCCGCATCCTCAAGTCCAACGGTACGATCCCAGTTAGATGAAATACTCGAAGCGGCGGCACACGATGCCGAGAATATACCAATTCGTCCGCGAGGAGAAATCCTCTTTACCGCATTTAATGCGCCTCTGCTTGGTCTAGGCTGACAGAGAGATTGATGAACAGGCCTTGCCCCCGATATTCCTGAGGACCTGTACATGCTCATCAAGAAGGTACGTTCCGCTGTTTGGATACAGTCGTTTGGACCCCGTAGGAGGATGACGGAATACTGACCAGGAGAAATAGGCTGTCGCCGTCCGCAAGCACCTTGAGCGCAACCGCAAGGACAAGGACTCCAAGTTCCGCCTCATTCTGATCGAGTCCCGTATCCACCGTCTTGCCCGCTACTACAAGACCGTCGGTGTCCTCCCCCCTACCTGGAGATACGAGTCCGCCACCGCCTCCACCATCGTCTCTTAAGCGCACCCTCGTCGCTACTACGAATGGAATGGTCGTCGCATTGACGCGGTGGATTCTGGTCATGGAGTTGGGGTATTAGGAAAGTGCATTTAGAGCTCTGATGCCAGCTCTCTGGGCCCGGTGGCCGCACGGTTCAGCCGCGGAGGAGGAAAAACACAAAAGTTTTCTTCCCATGTCACTCGAAAGAAGTAGACAAAACATCCAAAAAGAAGAGGAAATTCCTTCCACGGCAACACAAGCGTCATTGTCTGTGTGCGTTTTATGATAAATCAAAAGTTATGAAGAACCCGTGGTATCATTGGTATCATCAGATGACCCTGAAGCGCAATGTCCAAAAAAGACTTGCAAAGACTTTTCTGCCTCCTAAACGCCTAGCTTAAAGCCATTGAAATGCCAAAGGTCCTGCCGCCGCCAACGTCCATGTATGCCATCCGAGCTTGTCACTCGCGTTCGCGTTCCTCCATGTCTATGGCCAAAAACCTGTGCTTATCGCTGGGATGTTCAACCAGACGGCTCGCCTCGCTTACGAGATTCCTCGAGGAGGAACTCGCCCAGGACCTTGAGAGGATTCTTGGGCCTACAAGTGATGATGTTAGCCATAGATCTCTCGAGTTTTTGCCCATAGCCGTGACACGTACTTGTTCTTTCCAATGATTTTCATGCCCTCCAACAGGACGGCGCTCACGTGGCTGTTTATGTACATCCGAGCAGGGTCGCCATGCTCGACCGCCTGATTAGGAAGGTTCGTGGGATGAGTATCGGGGTGAGCTGAACCAGCGCGGGAGCTGGCCTCGCCATTGAGGTTGCGGCTGGGGGTACCTGTTCGGCCGGGGGCAGGGCTGGGAGCGCTCGGAGCTGCCTGCGGGATCGGGGCGGGAGACTGCGAATATTGTGTCAGCGCAGGCCTGTGGAAGACACAGGGATCGCGGAGGTTCCTACCGATGACGGCTCGGCGGCATCAGTCATGATAATGTCGCGGCTCACGGCATCGGCCGACGTAGTCGCAGGCGCGGGTGGCATCGTGGGCTCTGATGTCGTCGGAGCTGCGGTTTCCTGCGGGTTTGGCTCTGTTGTGCTTGGGTTGGACATTGTGGGGGAAAGACCTCTGCGGCAGGTGGATGGTTGATATATATTGGTAGCTCGAATTTCTTGTCAACGGCTCAGAAAATGCACCGGGCAGGTTTTCGGGCGAGAGCAGCTAGTGGGCTTGACTGCGACACACTGAAAAGTCGATGATTCTTGCTGGTTGTGAAGTTTGCCAGAATTCGCACGATGCACAAAGGTTATGCTTAGAGTGAAAGCAAAGACTGCGCCGCGACGAAACAGGCTTGAAGGGTCTGTTACCTCAATTGATGCAACAAGGAATCCTTGGGGAGTTGTACAATGGAGCTTGTGTCCCAATGTCTATTAATTGATTGCGACAGCGAAGAAGAACAGGCCTGAAGCTGCGGGTGGGCGTTGCCCGCAAGAACAAGAGGCCAGCCAAAGCTGAACTCATCTACGCGGGGTCACATGACGTCGCGTTGTGAAGTGCGCTTTCCCCCCTGCGGCTGCCTGTCCTCTTCGCGTCTCCATCACTGACGCCACGAAGGCGAATCTTCCTTCAAAAGTGTCCTGAATTACTCTGCACTAGCACAAATCTATCTCTCTACGATGTCGAACTCTTTTGACCTCAACGATGGACGCCTTCGTACAGCGGCTGCCGCGCCCAAGGCCACAGAGCCCTTTGAGATCTCCTACGAGGCCATCGCCACGTGGTGAAAGGCCCACCAAAAAGGTCAAGGTCGAGATCCAGAATAGCGACTGTGACGATGATGAATATGACGCCAAATCCGCCGACGAAGATGCCGATACTTCTGGGCTCACTGTCAACGATGTATTTGATGAAGAAGATAAAGACAATCGCCGTATCCGGCAGACCGACATCGAGAGTACTCTGCCGCCTATTCAGGCAGACAAAGAGGCGATTGAGGAGTACGAATTGATGAAGAGTTCTCAGGCCAGCGCTCCCGATGATGAAAAACCAGCCACCGCGAATCGCCAATGGATCCGGGGTAAGAGTTCCATTTATGTGGATGCCTTCAACCTCGCTTTGGACACCGTCTTGGCAGACGAATCTCATCTATTTGATGCCAAGGAATGCGACGTCTTTGCGCAGTGGAAGAGTCTTGACTACGAAGCCCAGTATCTGTGGGTTAAACCCAACTCTTTCTGTCCTTCCTGGCTAATGTTTTGCCAGCTACGTGCGATTGTTCCTGCGCAAGACATCGGCATGGCATCGCCAAGACCGATTGGGATACTACAGTGATATTTCGGACCCCGACGTGGCCATCAAGTCACTCCAGAAACTGAGAGATCTGCCAAAGGTTGAGGTCTCCAAGGGCGAAAACCCAGTCGAGGGCGTTGAGCTGGAAGAGTTCAGCTTAGGTGACACATTCACCTTCGCTGATGCTTCGGAAGAGCACATCACCACCATTGAGGAAGCTTCTTCGTTGTTAAGCCTAGACGAGCTTAAAGACCTCGCCAAAGAGGCCAAGTTCCAGGGCCGGAACAAGGCTGATTTGGTAAGGGCGCTTTGCCGAACAGGCTATCAGCAGACCGGGCTTTTTGCGCATGGACTTCAGAGATCTGGCAGCGGAGACTCCCAGATGGTGCGAGGCTTGATGAAAGATCGTCATGATACGCCTCCACCACTGAACCGACAGGACTCGAATCAGACGCAGCATTTTTTAGACAAGATTAGAGACATTACTGGACCATGCATTAGGCTTTCGCCGCTGACATACAAGCTCTTTGAGAGGGTGCACCTGGTCTTCTATCGCTCGACCGAGTGGACTGAAAAGTCCCTCACGGCCATCATTCTTGCTAGCATCGCACGGCGCAACTACCCCGAGTACATAGTCTGCCGAAGCACAAACATATTCGCTACTCGCAGAGATGTGCTCGAATTTGAGTCAGCGATTCGGGTGGAAGCCGAAGTCGACCAGGTTCTGGAGTTCAACGGACCACCAGGTGAAGCAGGGTTTCGAAAGGTTGTGGACATCTTTGACCGAGTTTACCCTCGATGGAAAGTTCTTTTAGCTGAAGAGCAGGAAAAGGAAAAGCAAGTGTATGAGGAGGGCGAAGGTGCCTACTTGAGAAGATTTACGCCTGTCCACTCATACACTCGCATCATTCACAAAGCTGCATTTGTCTTTGGGCGATTGAAGGAACATGAACGCGAGCATTCCATTCTCACTGAGCTTTTAGAGCAGCACCTGTTCCATCCAGCGCGGCGAGGCAGTTGGTACCAGCGCAAGGCTCTTCTCGAGGAGCATTACATGCACGCACTTGATGGCAACGCAGTGTCTGCCGATCCGGATGTTCAGAAGAAACACTGGAAGCGAATCGCCGCGACCACATGCGAAGCAGGTCTTGAAGACAAAGATTGCCATCTGATCTACCACTACGATTTGCAGAAGCGCCTGATCAAGCTCGAGAAACAGCTGCGCATACCTCGCCGTCTGCAGCATGACTTTGGACATGTCCGTCTTCAGAAACCCGTGGAGCACACGGTAGAGGGCATTCAGCTAAAGAGAGATGACCGGCAAGGCAGGAATGGCCGCCAAGCAAGCACAAAGACGATCTGGGTTGACGAGTTGGAAGACGGCGGCGAATGCAGTGTTGAAGAGATGTGCCTCAGTTGGTACCGCAGCCAGGGGTACAAGGGCTATCACGCCGAGGGAGGCATTGTCCGCACCTTATTCGCCTACCTTTTCTACGATATTCTTTTTCTCTACATTCCAAATGTATTCCAGACGGCATATCAGACATGTCCTTTGGACTTGCACACCGACTCGTTCTATCCAACACGCATGTCTGAGATCAACCATCGGCTGGTTGAGATCGCAAACGGCGGTGCGGAAAGAATCATCCGCGAGGTCGATGCCAGAGAACGCGAACGACGCACTTGTGTCATCGGTCTCAACTGGGATTACGACATCGAGGATCTTGTCGAGCTCGTCGGGTGCTTCAACGGCGGCGCACTAGCCGCCCTCTGCAAGGTGATGGCGCAAGAATACCGGCAGCGGGGCGGGGGCTTGCCTGATTTGATACTCTGGCGGACGGAGCCAGAAAAGGAATGTATGTTTGCTGAGGTCAAAAGCGCCAATGACCGGCTCAGTGATACGCAGAGATTATGGATCCATGTCCTGACGGGGGCTGGCGTGAAGGTGGTACTTTGCAATGCTGTGGCCAAAGAAGTCAAAGCTTTGGACTGAGGGCTCGTATCGATACTCAGAAACTTTGCAGAGCGAAGATAATTCTGGTTCGCTTCCACAAGGGTTGTACTGGGATGTTGCGTAGTACTACAACCAGCGGAGATTGCTAAGATTCGGCGCTTGCAAAGACGGGAAAGCCTTTGCAGTAGCGAGATCAATGTATCGGAATCCGTCCACGGACGGCTCGCGCCAGCAACGCTTTGAAGCTAAGGTTTCCTTGATATTGAACCTTCTCAGGGTGGCCGATGTACAAACGGTAGGATCCGCCGAACTCATCTTACGAGCAGGGAGCCGAAATACGACGTTTGATCATCCCAAAAATAGGACGGGATCTTCAGCCACTTTAAACCGTGGAAGCTCGGCCATGGAAGTACGAAAGAAGACTTTGAAACGACGGAGCAGCCCCTGGAAGCTGCATCTAGGCTCTGTCTAGATCACCGGTAAAGGAAGCACAGCGCGACAGTTGCTTTAGGGGACCACCTCTCGTTCATGATTGGCAGTCTCGAAGTCATGTTTGAATCTGATCATTTGACAACCTGTCGGAGGCCTTGGCTTTCGTTTCAGGAGGGCCAGGGTTTAGAAACATAGGCGCGGGGATGCTAAATCTGGCATCAGATCCAGAGACCTCCAGTCACAAGCGGCACTGAGACAGCAGGGCTCTGTTTTGGATCGGAGATTTTCTGAATACCATGCAGCTAATACTGCGGAGCCAATCAGAGATGGAAATTTGAAAGAGTCTAGAGGAGGTTGGGCGGAAGCTCGCGTTATGCTGGGCCGCAGAATCAGAACAGAGCTGCGACCCTATCCGGCATCCAGCGGCGGTGGGAGACACGCTTGGTCGAATTGCAGCAGTGTTGTTGCTCTCTCGCACAATCAACACCGGATCTTTGGGGGAGTTTACGAACCCATGGTTGACCTGGCGTCTAGTTTCCTGTGTGCGTGCGTGGGCTAATGTGGCCCAGACAGCGTTCTAACTGGCAGCTAATGTACGGAACGAGGATGCCGTCTGTAATGCCATTTGATGGTTCTCTTGAATCCCTTCACCGCTAGATAAGAGAAGTCAACAGCCACCAACCAAATTGGGACGTACCATTGGTAGCAGGGCAATCGGAACTGAGAATGACCGGCATTGCACTTCTCTAACGCTGCTGTATCTCTTGTCATCTCATCTCTCGCCTCTTCACCAGGAAACACATCCTAGCCCATCCACGAAAACGCAGACCAGACGACCTGCATCAGCGCTGTCCGAGTGACTCGACCGACCCGCGACTCTTTGCGACTACTGACTTTGCACCAAGCGTCAGAAAACAAAGTTACAACGCTTCGCCTGCCCCTTCGCACCACAATCCCCACACCAGCACGCCGGCGCTTAATGACTCGACCAATCCGGTCCCTCCCCGCCAGCCGTTGGTGATGGTCCTGACGGGAACCGGGACACCGCGGCCCCCCTGCTCTCGGGCTCCGGCCAATCACGCCCCCGGGGCCGCTGAGGACAGGCGCTTAGCAAAGTGAGGTGACTGGGGCCTCCTTCACGGCTTCACTCCGTACGCGACCACCCACCCCCATGCAGCGCCCGGGATTCCGGGTCGTACCATGTCCAGATCCGGTATAGCGCCCCAGGCCGCTTTTGCTGGCCACTCCTCTCCAACTCCTCCCCTCCTCTCACTGGACCTTCGCGCCTGCTGGGTACTTTTCCCTGCGTCGACGACACGCCCTCGACTGCGTCTGCTTGTTGATTCTGTCCCGTCACGGCATCGGAGGCGCAAGGCCTCTGATCTCAATCGCGAAACTGTGGGACGTCGGGTTCTGGGAGACACAGCAACGCGCGTGCGCGCTCGCTCACGCCGTGAGGGGTGTTTGTATGCAGCCCGTCATGGACCCCCATCACTGATTAACCCCGATTTCGCGAAAGTGATGGAAAGGCTAAGCGGACCACGACGGAGGAGGAGCTTGGAGCAGTCCATGAGACATGGGTGTGCCCTTTTCTACACTTCAGTCATCACGCATCACCCATCATGACTGCAACACCAGCACGCTGCGACAACTAGCAGCACGAAGGAGGAACAGCGGCTGCAGGCTTTATAGCGGTCACTATCTGGCTAGGGTGGAAGGGACAAGCGCATCGCCTCCGGATACCCCCTCCGCCTCATCCAGTCACACATGGCTGCCGGTTGCTATCTGGCCCTCATCACCACCCCCCCCTCCCCGACCCCCTCCAGTTCAAGTGCACCGCAAGCCGGGCTTTTCACGCACATTCCACCATTCAAGGATCGACCACTATGGCATCGATCCCTCATGGCCTCCCTGCTTGGTGTGGTTTTCCATGGGGGCGGAGGGCAAGAGGGCCGTGAGACGGATGGGTATCATGAGGGAGGGAGCTCGACGGGATGCTATGCCAACCCAATCTTTGTCTACAGCGGGAACCGGGCGGATGAGGAGCTGAGAAGTCGGTCTGGTTATGAATTTTGGCTTTTGCCCTCGCCTTCGGATCCTTTATCCACTCCCGGTCTCTTGATGCTGACCTGTCGTGATGGACCTCCCCTATGTACTGTCATAGCTCTCTGGTGAGTCACTTGGGATCGGCTACCTGTATGCAAGGAACGGGAATAACGGTGACGTTTGTTTTTTTCTCTTGGAAACTTTCTTTGCTCGCTCGCGCCGTTGCTTAGTGGTTGTCCGCCCCCCGTTTGCCTGTTTCCCCGTGGACTCCATCCGGCCGACCATCGCGACCTTTTTTTTTTCTCTTCTAAGCGGGGCCACAACACACCCACGATGCAGGTCGCCTCAAAGGCCGCGCTGCATGAGCATGCTGGCCGTGGAACGATAAACAAATAAACATGGCCCACACACCACATCACCATCAGTAGAATCATTGCGGTGAGGTCAAGTAACGTCTCCTGAAAGCCCTTGCCAGATATACACAGTATGCTGATATTAGACTACCTTGGCTTGCTGTGTACTAGGTAGTTATCTTGCTCTTTGATCGAGCTCTTCCTTCCCTTCCCTCCAAAAGTCTCCGAAGTAGGACATATTCCAGCCCTCGGTTCAATAATCACGTCGGCCCACCCAAATGGTTCCTGGTATCGAACATGAGCATCGTAGAGACGCCAAAGAACTCCGGTCGGTCCCCCATCCCCAATCGGGGGACCAGTAGATGGTTTGAAACAAAAATCCAAGTCGCTTTCCTCCTTTCCTCGCAAGATGTCCCATCCCGTTGAACCAATCGCAGATTCCGCCCTATCTCTTCGCCTTTCATTCCATGGTTTGCGCCGGTGGCGTGTGCTTGTTTGCTTGCGTAAAGTCATGTCGCTGTAAGATGTCCCTCCGTGGAAGAGCCTGCTTCATCACATGTCCGCCTTATCTTTTGGGGGGGAGGGCGCTAGGCCTAGGTCATCAGATGGTGTCGGGCGTTGCATGTCGAGTTGAGGTGACGATGGTGATGGTAGAACAAAATAAAGATCGGCAAATGTAGAGCCGATAACGTGGTAGGTTGATAAAGTCGATTCGTTTGCTTCTGGTCCATAACTTCATTCCACCTTCCTCCTCTTGCCCTTCGGCGCGGGATTCATCCTCGGCGTGTAAGTCACCGTCCGCGTGACAACCTCGCGGATGTGACGTACACTCGTCCTCGAAGGCTTCTTAGCGTCGTTTAACCTTTTGGCCTTGAGGGCCGCGTCCCAGTCGAACGCCGAGTGGATGGATCTGGCGCTGAATGGTGACCGCGCGCTCATGGGCGAGTCCAAGTGTGATACCGCTGGCGAAGGCGGGATCTTGAGGCTCGGGAAAGAATTTGCACCGGTGGGAGGTGCTGACATTGGCAATTGTGTGAACGGGCTAGGCGGGATAGCTGGTGCAGTGGCCGGGGCCTTGTGATCGTGTTCACACTTGCAAGAAACGTCTGTTTGCTCGCTGGTTGCAGTCGAGGGCAGCGAGTCTGGCGTGGACTCGGGCGTAGTGGCTCCAGAGGTTGAAGGCTTGAAGGCAGCTGGGGAGTTGAGAGACATGTGCTTGAGGAAATCCGTGTAGGCCGTAGGCGGGCTGATGGGCGTCTTGATGGGGAGGTCCTTGCAAGACATGGGCCTGGCCGAGAGTGGAGTCGAGGCCGAGAAGATCGTCTCCGAGGGAAAGGTACTGGTGACGGGCGTGGCCAGTTGAGCCAACTTGGGTCTGTTGGCAGGCATGATGACTTGAAGCGGAAGAAGAGTAAGGTAGTAGCGAGTGTATGTGTGTGTGTGTGTGTGTGCAAGGAGGGAGGAGATATGTCCAGTCAACTGAATGACTCTGACTCGAGAGAGAGGAGGAAGTCAAGCTGCCTACAAGCTGCAGAGACAAATCGCCTGGGGAAAGAAGGGAGGGAAAGAGTCGGCAGTCGTGAGGGTGGGAGGACGTTATATTATTTCGGAGAGAATGAGATGGGCGCTTGGGTGGTTGTAGTGTAAGTGACCCAGGAAGAGGACTGCAGGGTGAGGTTAAGCTCTGGCGGCGGCAAGGAAGATGGAAGATTTGAGGAAGCTGATGCGCTCCCGGAAGTTTGGTCTGGGGTTGCTGGGGGGGTTGAACAGGTGGGCAATAGCAAGCTGGTGCTATTCGCTAGGACGAGTTTCGAGCTTGGGCGGGAAGACAAGCAGGCAGACTGGATACCAGTCTGTACCAAGTCGGCAGGCTGGACGAGGGAGGGGCAGAGCAGGGAGGGGTGCAAAGGGGCGTGGGGTGACGAGATGCTGCAGACGGAGGAGGGGGGTGGTTGACTGGGACAATAGAACAGGATCAAAGCCCACACTAGAAGGCTGCGGTAGCGCGAGAAGGATCCTTTGAGGTAAAGAGGAGTCGTGATGTGTCGGTGACAGCGGATACGGATGGTCCAACGAGATTGAAGCAGTGGCGCGCGGCGGGAGCGTCGAGGAGGGCGGGAGACACGAACAGCAGCGCGAGCGTCGTGGTGGTGGGGAGGGGAGCAACAGAGACTGGACGTGGGAGTCGAGAGACGAGATGGACCGGGG